CATCCGTCCATCCATCCATCCATCCATCCATCCATCCATCCATCCATCCATCCATCCATCCATCCATCCATCCATCCATCCATCCATCCATCCATCCATCCATCCATCCATCCATTCTCACCTCATGTGAAAAAACCGAAGAGTCACAGGGCTTCTGCTGGTCGCAGTGGGAGTAGACCTACTGCTTCAATAGGATTTACATGAGTACGACTTACCATCCAGCAGTTGAGTCAATGAGTTTACTCTTAGCTGGAACGAATGATAGGACAGTAGCCCAGAAAGGGTACCAGGGTGTACAGTCAAGATCAGCCCTAGAGCAGCTGTCTTGGGTGGCCACTCATATCCCACCATCCTACCTGAGCTGAAGGTTTCAGCATAAAAATACGTGGCATCCACATGTAGGATGGAAACACATTTTTGGAGAAATGACGGCTGTCATTCAAAATAGCAAGAACAGTCAATAGTTCAGTGAACTCTCAAGGCAAACTGGACAGAAATATATCACCACTGACCACATGGATGATACATGAGGGACTACAGCCATCCTTTATTTTAATCAAATGCCTTTTAATGCTCGGCCTTATAAATCACAAAACGACAACATAGATATTTTTGTTTATGAGTAGCAGGGATGGAACACGGGGGCTGCGTTCTCCCCTCCTCCCGTTCTCTCTCCTCTCAAAAATCTGAGACCGATCACACTCAAGGCTATCTGAAGAACAGGGTCTCCCCACCACGGTCCTTAAGATGTTCAGCGGAGGCCCTCCTCTCTGGCCCCATGGCCATACCGAGAATGTTTGGTGGGGACACGAGACGGAGCCTTCTCAGTGGCAGCTCCCGGGTTGTGACGATTCTTTCCCTCGGGAGAATCGGCTGGTCCCCTCCCTGCTCTCCTTCCGCCCGACAGCTGAAGACCCACCTTTTCAGGCAGGCTTTTAGCAATCACGACAGAGTCCCCAAGCAGTGGTTTTCCGCCGGGTGTATTTTTAAAGTTTTCAATTATTTTGAGTAGAGATGGGCACAAACCACTTTCCTGCCCCACCTCCTCTGTGTGCCGCCTCTGAGTGGGCGCCCGCCAGAGGAGGCAGGGCCTCAAAACATGAAACACCCCCATTTGGCCACTCGACGAACTGGCACGAACTGCTGGATCAGGGATTCCTGCCCCTGTCTATTTTTGATCATTCAGTGTATTTGGAATTGCTATTTGTGTGTCATTGTTTTACAGGTACAATCCATTGCGGTTTTAATTTATTTATTTTTTTAACAGGGTCAGCTGCCTTGAGTATTTCCCCATCAGGAGAAAGGCGGCCTATTTATTTATTCCATATGTAGGAGTCAAATAAATAAACAAACAAACAAACAAAGCAAACTTTGCTCTTGGCCACTGCCAGATGTAATATAGCAAAGATCATCTTGAAATGTCTCCAACGTTCTCCTTTATTTCCCCCCAGATAAAAGCTACTCAGAAATCAGGAATGGCTTTCCTGCAGTCTTCGGAAAAGGGCAAACTCATCTGTCAGATCATCCTGAAAGTCCATTAGCGGCTGACTCATCATAAAGGCAGATAAAATATATTCACTCAGTGCAACAGAGTGGCATATAAAATACAAAATCATCTAATATTTATCCCCTTCTTTGCCTCCAAGAGCCATATATTAGTAAAAGGGGTCAAAGAGGGTTACATCCCGCCTCCAGACAAAGTCAAACAGAACTATTAAGATTTGCTTTTCTCAGTCTGCAAGCCAAGTAAAGGGAGAGAGGCCCATTTTCCTCTCAAATGAAGAGTTTCCACTGACAGCCTCTCGTAAGATGTAGAAAAGTCGGGATTTTAACAAGACCCACCTGAGTCAGTCTTTAAAAAGGGAATAAACCAAGCCCTGGTTTTAAATGCTTTTTTTAAAAAAAGATCAAACTTGGAAAGTTTCCATTTTTAAAAACGACTCGATGACCCATAGGATCCTTTCCAGATTTGAGGTTCAAAGATTAACAGAACAGCTGGATAGCTGAGTGGTTTAGGAGAGAGGCTGGGAGTTCGAATCCTGCCCCCCCCGGGGCCTCCATGACAGGGGCCGGACTCGATGGTCCCTTGCAGGTCTTGCGGTTCAAAATGATTATTGTGATTATCCAACGATTTGCTAAAAATGTGTTTATAGACACTATTAATTCTTTTTTTTTTCCTGGATGAAAGTTGGAGGGAAGGAGAGATGAATATAATCTGGGGACACGATTCTCCTGAAAAACAAAATGCGGGGCCAAAATCTGTTCTCCCCCTCCCGTGCAAAAATGCCCCCCCCCCACAAACCAGAAATTATCTGTGTCAGGAGCTGTTACAGCCTCTGGTGGGTTGCAGACCGTGCTATAAATGAACAGATCGAGTCTTTCTCTAAAAGTCTCTGTCCTAAGTGGTGCCTAGCCCTGACCTGCAAAAATCTCCTGTACCTAAAGTGAGACACCGCATGGAACTGGTAAGACTCACTGAAAAAGACAATAAGGTTAGGAAAAGTCGAAGGCAGCAGGAAAGGAGGAAGACCAAATATGAGACGGATCGGCTCCCCTGAGGAAGAAAGGTTTGCAAGAGCTGAACGGGGCTGTTAATAGGCTCTTTTGGAGGTCACTCATTCATAGAGTCGCTATAAATCTGAAGTGACTTGACGGACAGGTAACAACAACAAGGAAATGAAGGGCATTTTACTGTCCAGGGAGTTGTTGCTGGAGTTTTTTACAACCTCGCATGCTGCTTGGATGACACGGTTCTTGGCCAGCTTTCCCCCAACTTGGGGGCCTTCCAGATTCAGACTTCCCAAAATTCTTCACCTCCCTCTCTGACTGCATTTTATACCATAATAATAATTTTTTTAAAAAATCACAAAGACCATTTCAATTTATTTTTCTTCTGCTTTTTAATTTTTTTATTATAAAACTTTTCATACAGAAGACACTTTAGCTTTAAGAGTGCAAGGGGGTCACCCGCATTTTTACGTCCCTTGACAGAGGAAGACGATTTTAAGCCCGAAGCGCCAAAGGTGGGTGGTAACAAAATGGACACAACACGGTGCGCTAAGGAGTAGCGGTTACTACAGAAGGTACAGCGGAAACCAGGCCACATCAGTGGAAAATTACAGCGTTATGCCTGAGCCACCTTCAGGTTATTTTTTGTGGGAGGCCATAAGACCGGCAGTTTCCAACCTTGGGTCACATCCAGATGTTTTCTCGGACTGCAGCTTCCAAAAGCGCTAGCCCACACAGCTGGTGGTGAAGGCTTGTCGGAATTGCAGTCCAAGAACATCAGGGTCACTCTAGGCTGGGAACCACTGTGAGAGAGACTGGTACCGACAACTAGCTTCAGAGCACAAGATCTGCAGAATTTTTGCTTGCCGGACGGAGGGTTTCCCAGGAATCGGGCCGCTGGCTCCTGAACCTCCCTAACACAGCTGTTTTTGCATGCAGTGAAGGCCAACTCAAAAGGTTGAACCTTAATTCCTCAAAAGGTTCTGGAGAACTTTGTCACAGTTTGGACAAAAACCCAGAGTGGATTCACACAAAACCCAAGGATTCATTACCATCCACCCATAGTGTGCAGACACAAATACGGGCAGACACCGAGGTGCACAGGTACATGGAGATAAAGCAGCATTAGGACCAAGGGTGCGTACGATGTAGTCAGCTGGTGGGTGCTTCTGTAGCTATGGATTAGCAATGCAGTGAATCCAGGATTCCTGGGGTCAAAGCTGTGGGACATTCCGAATGATAGAGATAATGATTTCATATTCCCCACCACCACCACTTTCACTCC